GGAGGGAGGGAGGGAGGGAGGGAGGGAGGGAGGAAGGAAGGAAGGAAGGAAGGAGAAAGAAAGGAAGGAAGGAAGGAAGGAAGGAAGAAAGAAAGAAAGAAAGAAAGAAAGAAAGAAAGGAAGGAAGGAAGAAAGAAAGAAAAGAAAGAAAGAGAGAAAGAAAAACGAACACTCTCCTGAGCTTGCTTATTTAACTGAATTTCTGCTTTTTGCATCAAATAAGCATGGTAGGTATATTTGTCAGTGTTCTGACAAGATTAGTACATTGGGATCTCATTCCTGCCTAAGGTCCAAGAAAGAAACTAAAGAAGCAAACAGGAAATATGACGTCCCCCTGGCATTTTTCAATCACACAAACATTTGTTAAGTGTTCTAAATACAGGTATATAGCTTGCTAGGACATAAATTTGAATTTTATTGAGTGAAAAATACATATTTAGAACATTCTTCTGGAACGATCACCAGCATGCCTGGTTCTGGATGCTTCTTATCAGTTTATAATATCTGGTGATTATCCTGCAGGCTTTACAGTAGTGGGGGGGGGGTGGATCAGGGTGTGGTAAGAATGAAACTTGGCTCAGCCTGATTTTATTATAACTAGTGCCAGACCAGAACTTCTAGTATCTGGCCCAGATCATTTTACTTTAAGCATATTTAAGCATAGCACAATTTTGGAAAAGCCTATTCAGGTAACAATTAATTCATTCCAGTGAGTACAACAAAGCTTAAGACATGTTTACATTGACATTCTTAGTAAAGCACACATGACTTCATCTGTAAGATGGTTTCTTATTGACTTAGAAACAACGCTTGAAATAAGGGTCTAGGGAGAACGACTGAGGTAAACGTAATGCTTATGGGAGTCAAGATTGGCCTGGCCCTAAGATCCCAAGATAACAAAGAAATCACTTATGCTATAGTAAAGTACAAAAGACAACTCTCATAAGGGTGGATTTTTATGGTCTAAAAGCAATGCTCAAGATTTAGGAAGAAAAGGCAGGGATAAGTAAAATCATAAATTCTGGGACATACAGGTGAAGCATATCTCCTCAGACAGCAAAGGCTCACCAGGTTGTAAAACTGCATCATTCCTCGCATTCCAGGAAGAGCAGCTACTCACCTCATTCCATTGGAGAGGTAAGCTGTGTGTTTAACTTTCCTGGCTTCTCCAGTGCTTATCTGCATGCACAAGGCCCTTTTGCCCTTTACAGTGATTTATTTATTTCCACACTATCACAGGCTCCACAATTACAGACTGTAACACAATGTCTTATATATCTTGAGTATTTAATAAGCATTTATTGATGGGTTCTTACCATCATTGTGAAAAATACGCATGCATTTTTTTAAAGAGGAGAGTGGGTCATGAGTAACAGAAGTCTACGAGACAAGGGCTGAGTGTATGTAGAATTTAGTTTCACATAAGAGGAAGAGACCATCTTATTTTTATTTGTTAAGTGCTGAGGATGGAACATAGTGTATTGAGCATGTCAAGCACATACTCTGCCACTGAGCTATACCATAAAAATTCAGGTTCAGCAAGCCATGGGAACTGTGATCATTTCTTCAAATGATAAAGTTAATTATATCCATATGAGAGAGCTGGGCATGGTAAAGGCAGGAAGCTCAGGAGTCAAAGATCATCCTCAGCTACATAGAGAATTTCAGACAGCTTGGGCTATATGAGATCCTATCTCAAAGAACTAAAAGGTCTGAAAGGGGGAGACTGTCCATACTTGAATCTAGAAAAAGGAGTGGAGGGAAGACATGAAAGTAGTAGGGGGACAATCAGAGAAGAGGAAGGATGTCAGAGAAAGAGGAGAGGAAAGGGTAATAGGGAGTGAATAGAACCAAAGTATATTACATATGTATTTAAAAGTGAAGCCCATTATTTTATACAATTAACATGCACCAACAATATTCACATATGTAGGTTTACCATTACTTTGTAATACATTAATT